GTTATGAAGACAATGACGACAGGTCAACCAAATGTGTGGTTAGGACAAAGGCCAGAATGAGAGAAACCACATCGTTTGGCACATCAATTTAATAGGGCAACATTTAATAGAGGCAAGAGGAAACTCATGAATTTGGACTCTGTCATGGGCTGAATTGTGTTCTCCCAAAACTGATATGTTGAAACCCTAACCCTGAGTTCTTCAGTATATGACTGCATGTAGAGATAGGGCTTATAAAGAGGTGATTAAGTTAAAACCAGGCCAGGGGCCGGCCTGGTGGCGTAAGCAGTTAAATGTGCGTGCTCTGCTTCGGAGGTCCAGGGTTCGCGGGTTCGGATCCCGGGCGTGTCCTGAAGCGCTGCTTGTCACGCCATGCTGTGGCGGCGTTCCATATAAAGTAGAGGAAGATGGGCACAGATGTTAGCTCAGGGCCAATTTTCCTCGGCAAAAAAAGAGGAGGATCAGCATCGGATGTTAGCTCAGGGCTGATCTCCCTCACAAAAGAAAAAAAAAAAAAACCAGGCCATTAGGGTGAGCCCTAATCCAACGTGACTGGTGTCCTTAAAAGAAGAGAAAATTTGGACACACAAACGGACACCACGGGTATGCATGCACAAAGGAAAGACTACGTGAAAAGGCAGCAAGAGGACAGCCATCTGCAAGCCAAGGACAGAGGCTTCAGACAACACCAACTCTCCTGGCACCTTGATCTTGGACTTCCAGCCTCCAGAATTGTGAGAAAATAAATGTCTGTTTGTTGTGGTATTTTGTTATGGCAACCCTAGCAAACTAATACAGACCCCAAAGAGAAATTCATAAAAAAAGAAGAGGGGATGGAGTTTGGAGGGGCATTTGACTTTGGAGTAGCCATGTGAAAGCCATATGAAAGAGACGTAGGGATTTAAGTTGACTTTGAATGCGGTAAAGATAAAATACTTGCTGACGCTCCCTGTAGGGGTCCTCCTTACAAGCCTCTGTCTTTGAGAACAGCAGTCTTGGCCATGGAATTGCTTTTGCCAATGCAATGTGAGCAGAGGTGAACGAGGTGGACCACTTTCAAGAGTAGCCCATCACTGCCTTCTTTGCCACAAGATGAGCAATATCAGGAAAGGAATGAAAAGATGCTCCTTCCCCCTGAGTCCTGGAATGAAGACAAGCTGGAGCATAGCTATAGCTGATGGACATTTGTTTCATAAGCCAATGAGATTTTGAAGTCTTAACTGCAGCATGACAGCCTAAGCTAACAGATACAAAATTGATGGGGTGATGTGGCTGCTAAGCAAAGCTCACGAGCTAATTTTTAGTCATCTGTACTTAGATGGTATCAGGAAAGTTGAATTAAGTTAAGGGAAACATGCATCAAGAGGTCAAATAGCAAATTGAATTTTCCAGAAAAAGAGAGACCAGGCTGATGGGAGATTTTAAAAATAGGTCATATGAATGAAAAGTGGAAGGAACTGAGAAAATTTAGTCTGAAAAAAGAGAAGATGGGAGAGAAAATTCTATGGAAAATGGACTGTACCAATTCTAGGGGGTTTGAAGGGGTTCCCAAGGGCTTTTGGTGGAAACATTGGTGGAGGAAATTTTCACTAAATATTTATAGTTAAATTTACATTCAAATTATATTAAATATTAAATATTCATTAGAAAGGAAGAATTTTCTAACCCTTAGAACTATTCCTTATAGGAACCTCCTTACTAGAGGTGTTTAACCAGATACTGGTGATATCTTGTCAGAAGTAGCGAGGAGGGAATTTGTTGTTGGTGGTGATGTGGGGCCAGTGGCGGAGTGTTGAGCTGGACCAGTGGTTTTCAAACATTTTTAGCAGTATAACAAAATCTTACATGGAACCTCCAACATAATAGTGGTATTTATTAGTCTAAATTTATTTTATATATTCAAATTAATAACAGTTAATTTGTATAAAGCTAATCACCATAATGATGAGGCTTTTCTGATGAACATAAAAAATTTAATTGGAGATATTTACTCATCAGCTGTTATCAAGTAGCCTCTCTTTGCTAAGCACTGTTCTTGACATTGGGGAAATACAACATGGTTAAGTTTCTCGCTCTCCTGGAATTGAAACTCGACTAGTGGAGGCAGACTATCAGCAACTAAAACAAGAAGTAGGATGATGCTAGATCATGATAAGTGCTATGAAGAAAAAATAAAGCAATGTGGTAGAGAGTAGGAGGCTGAGTGTAGACACAGTAAAGTGAGTGGTCTGGACAATCTCTCTCAGGAGCTAACATTTGAGCTGAAACCTGAATGACAAGGAGGATTCTTAGCATGAACATTCCAGGCAGAAGAAATGACAGTACAAAGGCCAAGGTGGAAATGAACATGAAATGTTTGAGTGACAGAGTGATTGCCACGCTCTTCAATGAGAGGAGTCTGCTGACCACGTGCTTGAACCTTGTAGCAATGTCAAATTGCTATGACAGTTTCTAAACGCTGACTCTCAATTTCTGTCCGTATTGTACTTGTCTTGACACACACCGGGAATACACTTCACAGATCCATGGACCACATTTTGAGTAGTGCGTGGAAAGGACCTTGGATTTTACTCTAAGCGCAGTGGGAAGCATATATGAGGGAGGTGAGAAGAAGAATAATCAAGGACTGCTTATAGAATAGTGGTGGTGCTCTTTATTAAGATGGAGAAGATTAATGGTGGGAGAAATTTGGGAGGTGAGACCAAAGTTCTGCTTTGAACATATTAAGGGAGAGATGTTTAGACCTCCAAGTGGAGAGGTCAAGTAGGAAGTTCAACTTCACAGCTGAGGTCAGGGCCAGGGTTGTAATTTTGGGGCATTCATGATAGCCTGCATATAAAGCCCCAGACTATGTGATTTATGTAGCAAGAGTTGTTATGAAAGAAAAGAGATCCCAGGGCCGGCCCCGTGGCTTGGCGGTTAAGTGCGCGCACTGTGCTGCCGGCGGCCCGGGTTCGGATCCCGGGTGCGCACTGACGCACCGCTCCTCTGGCCATGCTGGGGCCGCGTCCCACATACAGCAACTAGAAGGATGTGCAGCTATGACAGACAACTATCTGCTGGGGCTTTGGGGGAAAAATAAATAAATAAAAAATCTTTAAAAAAAAAAAAGAAAAGAGATCCCAGGACCTAGACCTGGGGGCATTCTGACATGAGCATTGTTGATGCCGTCAGCATCAGTATCCAGGAAATTTGAATCTAATATTATGGAATCCAGGGTTTCACGAAACATAGAGTGAAATCGCACAGTGTCACAATGTTGGCATGATGTGGGTCAACAAATACACATGGAATGAATGAACGAGCTCCAAAACACCCTTCCAACTCTGAGATACTACAGTTCTAGTATTATTCACTATTCACAGCCATGATGTAGTGTGTTGAATGTGGTATCCAAGAAGATATGTCCACGCCCCAGAACCTGTGAAGGTGACCTTATTTGGTAAAAGGGTCTTTGCAGATGTAATTAAGTTAAGAAACTCAAGATGAGATTGTCCTGGATTATCCAGGTAGTCCCTAAGTCCAGCAACAAGTGTCCTTATAACAGACACATGGAGGAGAGACACAGACACAAGAGGAGGAGGCCATGTGACTATGCAGAGATTGGAATGAAGTCGCCTCAAAACCAAGAAAGCCGAGGAATGGCAACAGCCACCAGAAGCTAGGAGAGGCAAGAAAGATTTTCCTCTGGAGCCTTCAGAGGGAGCACAGCCCTGTGGACACACTGATTTTGGACTTCTGGCCTTCAGAACTGTGAGATAATAAATTTCTGCTATTTTAAGCCACCCAGTTTGTGGTAATTTGTTAAGGCAGCCTGGGAACACTAATACACATAGAATTTTCTAGCTCACTCTATTCTAGCATATCTTTTAGAGCTGTGCTTTATTCCGACCCAGTGATTCTCAACTCTGACTGCCTGGAGAACTTATAAAAAATACTAAATAAGCTGGCCTGGTGGCATAGTGGTTAAGTCCGTGTGCTCTGCTTCAGCGGTCCAGGGTTTGCAGGTTCGGATCTGGGGTGTTGACCTATGCACCACTCATCAAGCCATACTGTGGTGGCATCCTACATACAAAATAGAGGGGAATTAGCACAGATGTTAGCTCAGCAATAATCTTCCTCAAGCAAAAAGAGGAAGATTGGCAATAGATGTTAGCTCAGGGCCAATCTTCCTCACAGAAAAAAAAAAAAAGAAAATTGCTGAAGTCTGGGCCATAGTCTCAGAGATTCTGCTTCAATGGGCTTGGGGTACTGACTGGCTGGCATTGGTGCAGAGCCAGAGTTGAGAACTGCCATTTAATTAGTCACAACAACTTAATGTCATGGGGGTGACACAGAAGTACAAGGGGCAGGAACATCTATATAAAAATATTTTTAACCTTAGGATTTTGCTTTGGAACATAACGTTCTTTATCTTTACGCCCCAATATAAAATATTCTTAGAAACTGAACTAGTTTCATACCAGCTGTCTGTACAGACCCTTTTGGCACTAAGATGGTCCTGCTTCGACCATGAAGGGGTAAATGGATGCTCTGACAGCGGCCACCGTTGCTGATCTGGACGCTCCCCTTGCTGCCCCCAGAAGTACTGGGGGAGGCTTTGCCTTCTAGATTGAAGATTGGCAATGCTTAACTTTAACATAAATGAAAAGATGTCACTTGCAAGCCCTTGCTCCAAATTGTCCCGCTGCCTTCCTCACAATCAGCCAATGAAAATTTTGAATTTCTGGTGGCGTGGTACTTTGTGTAATTAAAAAAAAACCTGCTGCATAGATGTGCAGAATAGGAGAATAGTACATTATTATTTGGAGGGAAGAGGGTCCCTAATTGTGGAACAAAGCAATTACTTGTACGTCAGCCCTCAATAAATGTTTCTTTATTTCTGAAGTTGTGTGACCTCCTGTAGTGGCCTTTCTAGCACGTCAGGAGGCAGTCAGGAGTGAAATGTAGTTAGCAATGCGCACTTGTCTATAAAGGGCCTTTGACAACGAGCTCACTGCATCTATTGACTCCCCGGGAAGTCTGAGGTCACAGGCTTGGCTGGAGCACATGAGCCCAGATAATGAAGATGGTTTTGCCCTCTTGAAACAAAGGCAGAAACTTTATCTACTTCACTGTGCACTTTGGGTCATGTGCTAACGATGAGGATTTCTGTAATACTAATCCCCCTAATGATGGCTTCTCCCAGCCCTTACACAAACCTACAAGGCCTCGTGGCTTGGCAAGCCAGATAGAATAAAGGCAGCACGGCGTTTGGCTTTTGAACTGAGTTCAAGGCAATTAAAGTCATGGGCAAAGGGAGGAAAGGAGGGGTTTAGAAATACCAGCATAATAAGTCTTATAACTGGGGCTCTCTGTAAATTAACTCAATTAGACAGAGCCTGGTTTAACAGGGGAAGATGGTGGGAAGCACTGCCCTCATTAAATCTGGCTGTTAGAGGCGCTTCTAATGGAATTAAATTTGTTTTAGTTGTTTGAATCACATAAAACAGTCTGTGCATGTGCACGTACACATGTGCATATTCGTGGGTTCTGTGATTTTTGTGAGTATTTTTTAAAGAGGAGAGGAATAGAAAGAAAAACAAAAATATACCAAAAAAAAAAAAACAAACCCTCCAAAATCAAAAACTGAGTGAATGTTCCAGATCTCAAGAGTGGAAGACAAGGAGAAAGGCAGGATAGAAGCAAGGAGCGGAAAGCGAGCGAGTTTTCCCAATTATAAAGCCATGAGCCCCCTTTGGTTGGGGCTGCTGCTCCGCTGGCTGGGCTGTGGAATCCCGCCTGGAGCCTGGGCACAGTTCCCCCGGGCCTGCATGACGGTGGGCAGCCTGCTGGCCAAGGAGTGCTGCCCGCCGCTGGGCGTGGAGCCGGCCAACGTCTGCGGCTCTCAGGAGGGCCGGGGCCAGTGCACAGAGGTGCAAGCTGACACCAGGCCCTGGAGTGGTCCTTATGTCCTGCGCAACCAGGATGACCGAGAACGCTGGCCAAGGAAGTTCTTTGACCGGACCTGCAAGTGCACAGGTGAGGGGGACCCCTGTGGGCAGACCCTGCATGCTCTGAGTTCGGTGGGGAAGGCCCAGCTGGGAAGGGAGCCTCTTCTAAGGAAGAGCTGAGACTCTTGTGACTGTTAGACTAGGCTTTGAAAGGCAAACCAAGTTTGTTTTCTGTAGGCAGCAAATTGAGTAAGGCTGGTGTCTTGGTTTATTCTTCACATCCTCTATATATCTAATTATGGAAACTAAATAAATATTACGTGGGCCAAGCCTGGTTATATGAACTCATGCCAACAAGCCCTTGCCTTGTTTGTTGGAAAAGGAAGCTAAAGACCTCAAGAGTCAGCTTTGAAACTCAGAGCAAGTCCTTTCAAGATCAATTCGGTGCCTTCTCCTTCTGTAACGGGTTTGTACTTGTTCTAAGAGGCGGGTGGGCAAGGCTTGGCAACTGGAAGACAGGCATCAAAGGCAGGTGTTCTGTAGTCCTAGTCTCAGCATTTTTAATGATTTGAACAGGTCTCAAGCAGGGTGCATCTTGCTCGTTAAGGTTATGACTGGGTTGTGACTTTGCCAAAGTTGGAGAGACGTGGGAGGACAGAACTTTCTCAAGTGTGCTGGGGAAGGGGGCTATAATAATGCTTTTTCCCTCTTGTCTGGGTTTGATGTGGGCATTTCAACATTTGCTCAGTGTCCCTCTTTTAGACCTTGGTCTCTCTTATTACCCATTCTTTGACATCTCTGTGCATTTCTTATTCTTTTGGCTCCTCTGAGCCTTCTCAAATCCACCTCAGTACTGCTCCCTCCACTGTTCAGCGACCGTGAACAGCAGAGATAGACACCCAAAGGCTGGTAAGGCATTTGAAACACAAAAAACATCAGCGGCAACTTTAGCAAAGCCCGTGGACACTGGTCTACAATATCCAGCTGCATAAGAATTTTTCCTTTTTATATTATTTTTTTACTTATGTTCTCATAAGATGCTGGAACAGAGGAAAATAGAGATATCTGAGCTACGTAAGGGTATAAAAAGGTAAACCAAGGGAATGTAAAAGAACTGTGATGTTCCTGGAGGAAAGATGCTAGATTTTTTTAACTTTTAAAAAATTCTGGCTTTATAATTATTTTGTATACATAGTGTTAATTCTGTGATTCAAAGGAACTGTTAGTTTTGCTCTGAGTATTTGTTGTGACAAAAGTTTTAAGTAGCATATTGAATGTATGCTATCCACTTTTTTCTAATCGAGCATTTGCTTCTATAGACATTGTTTCTTAGATTCTCACGGCTTTTCAGTCTGAGAAGCAGCAGGTCTCATACTACCTGTGCGATTGGAAACCACACAACACAGTAACTTCTTTGTCCATGACTCAAAAATACTTCTAGAACACTTATTTCCAGGTCAATCAATGATAGAGCGACACAACTTACAAAGGTTGGGAATCTCCGTTGTACAGAATCCTGGGGCAGAAGGTATTAGGAAATCAGATGTAACTGTTAACTCTTCTTATCATCCCATCTATTTTATTTTTTTGACCTGGCTAGTAAGTTTTTTTAAAACAGGTGGGGAAGGGAAAAATAGAAAATGGCAGAATAGAAGGGATAATTGCAATCTCTGTTTCCTGAGGGAATGCTTACAAATATTCCTCCAGAAGTGACAGGAGTTTTGGATCACAGTGACCTACGTTCAAGATATAAAAAGGGATTCCCCTGCTCTGAGGAGGATAAACATACCTAAGAGACAGTGGGCCAGAAACAGGGCCTGTCCTGTAAGTCTAGGCTGTAAGGACATCACAGATCTACAGGTCAGTCCAAGGAGCAGAGCTTCCTCAGGGTGTATAATCTCCATCTCCAACCATTGTCGAGACCATGACTATCCCCCAAGACCCACTCCTGGGCTGTGGCTCGCCTCCCTTCCTCCATGATTTGATCTGTCTAGACTCATTCAGGACCATAGCTCTTTCCATCCTAACTTTGGATGGCTCCACTTAGGTTGGCTGGATGTTTTTTTCCTTGAGTCTCAGAGTGCCAGACTTAGTCCTTAGTGGCTGAGCTGGAAAGGTATTTAGTGTGCACAATAATCACTGTGATGTGTCATATGTCCCAAAGCAAGGCACATATCCTTCAGTTTATTCTTCCCCAAAGAGAGAGCTGACTGTCTTCCTAGGGTAGCTTTTTCATGGTTTGGGAGGCAGTCTTCAGAATTTAAACCTGATCTTGAATGCCCCGAAGCCCTCTTCTCTGGTAGCTCCATAATTCTTTTGCAAATAGGATCCCTGGGATTCTTCTGAGGTCACCCAAAATTTATTAAGGAAGAAAGGTAGATTAGCTTCTGGCAACCAGACTATTGATCACTCTGAACTTTGTTAATTCAATGGAAAAATAAACACTCCATGCATCTGTCAATGAGCATTTGGGTTGTTTCCACGTCTTGGCTATTGCAAATAGTACTGCAGTGAACATAGAAATGCTAATATCTCTTTAAGATCTTGATTTCAATTCTTATGGTTAAATACCCAGAAGTGGAATTGCTGGATCATATGATAGTTCTATTTTTAATTTTTTGCGGTACCACCATACTGTTTTCCATAGCAGCTGCACCATTTTGCATTCCCACCAATAGAACATAAGGGTTTCAATTTCTCCACATCCTAGCCAAGTGGTATATGTATACAACTGAATACCATTCAGCCTTAAAAAAGAAGAAAATTCTGCAATATGCAACGACATGGATGAACTTGTAGTACATTATACTGTGTGAAATAAACCAGTCACAGAAAGACAAATACTGCATAATTCCACTTATTTGAGGTATCTAAAATAATCAAATTAATAGAATCAAAGCGTGGAATACTGGTTATCAGGGGCCAGGGGAAGGGGATGGGAGTTATTAATAAATGGGCATAAAGTTTCACTTAATCAAGATGAATAAGTTCTAGAGATTTGTACAACATTGAAGAGTCAACAATAATGTATTGTACATTTAAAGATAGGTTAAGGGGACAGCCTGGTGGCGCAGTGGTTAAGTACTTGTGCTCCGCTTTGGCAGCTTGGGGTTCGTCGCATCCCTGGCGCGCACCGATGCACTGCTTGTCAAGCCATGCTGTGGCAGCGTCCCATATAAAGTAGAGGAAGATGGGCACAAATGTTAGCCCAGGGCCAATTTTCCTCAGCAAAAAGGAGGGGGATTGGCATCGGATGTTAGTTCAGAGCTGATCTTCCTCACCAAAAAAAAAAAAAAGATAGGTTAAGAGGCTAGATCTCATGTTAAGTTATCTTACCACAATAAAATTAATAAAAGAATAAAATAAACACACCATAGTCTTCATGATTTTGAAGCTGGTAAAAGATTTTAGCTGAATACAGAGAAATAAATACAAACTCTGAAGGGGAAAAAGCCTAAATTGTGTGCTCAAATTCTCTAGAGAGAACTTCTTTATTCTTTGTAGGAATAAATAGAAACAAAAAAATTACTGAAGTTAATTGTCAGAAAGAGCTGAATTTTGGCTTTAGCTGTTCACCTTACAAGTCTTACCTGCCAGTTGGCATTTCTGTGAATACACCAGTTGCAGTTGCGTCTTTGGACTTTTGAAAAACATGCGCACTAAACTGTTTTTGAACAGTTGTCTGAGAACTCCTTGTTTGTACAAGTGACTAAGTGCCTCCATTTTCCAATCTCTGAAATGGGGATAATGATGAAACCACACTTGTAAAATCCTTTTGAGCTCCATAGATGAAAGGCCCTGAGTGAGTATGAAGTATTGTTATTAAAATAATAGAATCTCTAATTAAAAGGAATAGGCTATTTAGAGCTCCTTGTAAATTCCCTAATCGGTGATCTTTAAGCTTATTTAGTCTAATAGCCTCCCGAGTTTGAGCTGAGGCAGTTCGTGTAGGAACGTGCACTGTTTGGTTGTTCTCACTCTTTCCACTATTATCCCAGTCCTAAGTAGGTAAAGCACTTTGACTTTTTAAATTTAATTTTTGCTCAAGGGCACACTCAATGATATAGACTGGTATCATCTAGGGATCCTTTATTTCTCTCTCTTCATTTCCCAGTAAGATAAAGCAATCTTTTCTAAAAGGCCCCTCTTAAATTTTTTGCTACTGCTATTAGTGGATTAACGGAAAAAATGAACTCATGTTCAATTTGACGCAAGGAACTACTAAGAAATATATATTAAAGAAATAAACATTTTGTGTGCTATGCGTTCATGTTGCTACACTTTTCAGTTGTCTTCAGCAGAATAACAAATTCTTTAGATCAGGTTTAGAAGCTCAGAAATGAAAGGGACCTGACTGCAGGGCTTTGGTGTATTTTCTCTGAGACATGCTGGAAAAGGAATTTTTTTATTGACTACATTTCTGGGTCCTAGGCGAGCTCAAATCCAAACAAATGTTTTCTTATTAATACGTCTACATTGCTTTTTGGGGGCAACTCTGGTTTTGTGAAAAGAGATGTGAAGCATCTCTGGTCTTCTGAATCAGAATTGGTCATTTTGTCTTTTGCGTCCATGGCACTTGGTTTATTCCTGTTTTCACTTTCCCACAGTTAGACTTGTGTCTATATTTCATTGTGCACATGCCCTTCATCTCCACTGGATGAAGGCACTGTGCCTTGTTTATATTTGTGTCCTCTAGTGCCTAATGCCTTTTATTCAATTATTCATGGATTCCTTCATCAGCCACCAAACCAATGTTTATTTAGCACCAATTATGTTAGGCCCTTCAGGCACAAAGAGGAAAAAACCCGACATGATCTTTATTGTGTCCACAGGTTAGTGGATAAGTAAGACAGATATGAAACAAATGCTAATACAACACTGCTTGATAAGTAGTATCTAATAATACTAGTAATAATAACACTTAATATAGAACTTGCTATGCACCAGATACTGTTCTAAATGCTCTAATCTATTAACATACTTGTTTTCCATAAGAACCCTATGAAGTAGAACTCCTATTCCAAAATGACAGGCTCTGAGAAGGTAAGTCCAAAGTTACCAAGTGTGGCAATTTGAACGGAAATAAATCTGTGAGAGCAGAGGGAGGCTTGCTTAGTTTTGACTGCCCCTAGGTAGTAGGTGTTAATAAATTATTTGTTGAATAAATGAATGAGGGAGATAATTAGTTATTGGTAATTTTGTTTCTAGCAATGAAAAAGAATTGTGGTCAAGAAAGTGCAGGAATCTTAAAACTCACAGCCTAAGTTATGAATTACTCAGTTTCAACAATGAGACCCTAAAATTCAAAGACAAGTTTTATGTCTTTAAATGTAGAAATGTATTGAATTTATTATTACAAAATTTAGGTGTGCTATTTCTTAGCATTTTGAAGGAAGGAATTACTCTCCTATTGTAGAGTTGTGAATATACATTCTCCTCCAGTCATCAGGCAATAGGCAAACAGCTGGAAGTTTGGGTGGTTAGTATTCTTCAGGTGCATTTCATTCAATTACTCCTCAAAAAATATTTTATTTTTGTAAAAGCTGCCAGAGTAGGGGATATGTTGTAATCAAAGATGTTTTAAAAATAGATACTATACAATTTTACTAGGTTCCCTGAGGGAAAATAGATAGACTCCAAACTCTATAAAGCCTGAAGCACCTTGCACAGGATCTGATCCTATAGTAGCTACTCAATAAATATTGGTTAAATAATTGTATTCAGTAGCTTCACTCCAGTAATCAACATAAAATTTAATGTCTAACTCGAACTATTCAAAAACATGATTTTCAGTCTTGGGACTACTAGAATTTTTCCTTTTAACTATTTTTTTACTTGTGTTCTCATATGGTGTAGAAACAGGAAATTGAGATAATTGAGTTAGGTAACAGTAGATAGACTATTTTCTATGTGACAAAGAGCATAGAACCCAAACAACTAATTACTTAAAAAAATTCTTCCTACTTATGATATTTTTAAGAACATTTTCTTTAACCATCAAAAAATCCATTGGGTTAATAGAAAAGGATGCCTGTGCATTTTCTTTACATAGTACAAGTGCTAATCATTTTGTTTCCATGCTATTAGAAAATTTTCTTTTCCTTTAACACTCCAAATAACCTTCTCTCTACTACGGTCATAGTATTTTTTACTTACCCTATTTTGGTACTTAAAGTTTATCCAAATTATTTACAGGGCCCGTTTTTCTTTCTAATCCACAAGGATAAGGGGAGAAAGGAAGAAGAAATTTTGTGTTTATCGACTTTTCTACTACATGCTTTATACTTCTGTCCTTCTTTTTTGAATTAAAATCTCTTTTTAAATTTCAGTTCTATTGAGGTATAATCGACAACTAAAATTGTAAGAGATTTAAAGCATACATCATGGTGATTTGGCTTTGTACTTCTTTCACTCATTCAACAAATACTCATATTGCACAAGGCCGAGCACAGCTCCGTTGCCTGTAGCTGAGACAAGTAGATGATTCCAGTTGGTGTGATCAATTCATTGAAAGGGGAACATGGGATACATACGCAGGGGGCACAGCATGGGAGCACCTGACCCTGACGTGTGGAATCAAGGATGACCTTGCAGAGGACCCATTGTGAAGCTTAAAGGAGGAGTAGGTAACCCAGGCAAAGAGGAATTTAGGGAGACTATGAGGGAAAAGTGTTGCAGACAGAAGGAAGAGCAAGTAGAAAGGGCTGGGAGCGGGAGGTGCAGGAGGAGAGCAAGGGGGCAGGTCACCCCCGTTAAACACCGTACAAAACTCTCTAATCTCTTGGGAGATAAACGTCATTATCCCCTTTTGTTCAACGTTTCACTCCAATAATATTTAAATATTTACTCTCTAACATCACCACCTAAGGAATGAGGTGCTGGTCACACAAAAGTAATAATTGAGCCTAAAATGGGAAAAGTCAAGGGCAAGCTAAAATAATTTAAACTTTAGATGCTAATCAGAAAGATGCTTAGAGCTTGAGATGACTAACACTCAGTCTCTCGGTTGATAAAGCAGAGACATTTGTGCAACCGACAGGGACCCCTGCAGTGATCTACACTTGCTGACACCATGGGAGCGAATTCACCTTTACGACCTGCCAGCTGCCATTGATTTTGTCTTAACTCGGTCTCCTTTGTGAAATAAACCGGCTTTTTTAATGTCAGAGTTCACCTAAATTCCTGGAGATCAGCTTATTTATTTTGGTTCCACCTTTAGCTTGGTGTATATTCTGTTCTTTCTCTAAATCAATGAACTGTTTTGTTTCAGCCCTTTTGTGTGTGCCGCTGGATAGCAGGGGCTCAGCAGTGACATCTGAGGCTGCTGCTCGGGCCCCAGGTGGGGACGTGGAGAGGACATAGGAAGGGACCCCTTCCAGCATGACTTGTGAGAGGAAGGAGAGCATGGCAGGCAGCGCATTAGTTTGCTAGGGCTTCCTTTACAAAGTGCCACAGACGGGTGACATACAGAAATTCCTTCTGTCACGGTTCTGGAGGCCTGAAGTCCCAGATAAGGGGTCAGGAGGTTTGGCTGTCTTCTCCTTGTGTCTTCCTTCACGTGGTCTTCCCTCTGTAACTATCTGTGTCCAAATTTCCTCTTCGTATACAGACATCAGTCATATTGCATTAGGGCCCACTCTAATGATCTCATTTTAACTTAATTACCTCTTTAAATATCCTATCTCCAAATACAGTCATATATATACTGAGGTACTGGGAGTTAGGACTTCAACATATGAATTTTAAGGGGGTTCAGCCCATAACAGCATGTAATACATTTCATATCCTGTTTCTTTCCTGGGAATATTCTAGGGAACTCGCCAGTGTTTAGTCCCCTTGGAGATACAAACATTTCAAGAGAAGAGTAGGAAAGAGTAGAAATTGGCTTTCTTTGCCCTTTTGTAAACACCTTTATCTTCTCTTCCATTCTACCCCAGCGTTCGAATTCAGAAAAGTCCTCCAAACTATATAAACTTATTTCCTCTTCCATCTTTCTCTCTCTCTCTGTTTTTTTTTTTTTTTTTAATAAACTAGGAAACTTTGCTGGCTATAACTGTGGGGACTGCAAGTTTGGTTGGACCGGCCCCAACTGCGATCAGAAGAAACCACCAGTTGTTCGGCAGAATATCCATTCCTTGACTCCTCCAGAGAGGGAGCAGTTCTTGGACGCCTTAGACCTTGCAAAGAACACCACGCACCCTGACTACGTGATCACCACGCAACACTGGCTTGGCCTGCTTGGGCCAAATGGGACCCAGCCACAGATTGCCAACTGCAGCATTTATGATTTCTTTGTGTGGCTCCATTATTATTCTGTTAGAGATACATTATTAGGTAGGTTTTTTCCTTAGCTTAAAGTATATTATTATAGGTTTGGGATTGGGGGTGGTGGAAGTCATTTCAGGTAAGTTAATTAACAAGAGAACAACCTCAAGGAAGAGTACATTTACGAAAGTCATAGAATTGTCCAGTGCTGCCCAAAGTTAGAGTGGAGCAGGTTCTTCCTACATGTTGGCTGCAGACATTTGAAAATGTTCTTTCCCACAGTTTGTATTTTGGGTTCAAAGTCTAAACTCTTCTCTGTGAAGCTATTAATCCTCAAAGGCAAGAGTTGGTGAAGTGGAGGCAAATTCCTTTTGATTCCAGAAGAAAACATTTCTAAATCTGGCCATGGAAGCCCTCTCTGACCTTTTCTTCAAATTAGAGGAATTAACGGAACATGTGCTAAAGCACGTGAAGCTTCTTTGTGCAGAATTGGAGTGTTTGTGTTGGAAGGTGTATCTCGTTAAACTTACAGGTATTAGTCTTTAGACTTTCAGGTCATCGTTTATGGTGCCCATGCACTGCTGGGATCCCAGGGTTTTTTGGAGTTGTATTGTCAAGGAAAAGCAGAAACTGAGCCACAGCAATGTAGCTTAGCTTAGCCCTTTGAGCCACAGTTATGCTGGAAGCTTGAGAAAATAGTGGCCTGCCCTTCCAGATCCTGAAAATTGAGGCCTCGGCAGGACTTGGAATGGGGCGTTGTCTGTTAGGAACTTCATTAATCTCATAGGTCCAACTTTGTCCTCAGTTATTTTCAGAAAGTGGAAAGCCATAGACACCAGTTAATTCCACGAGGGCTTGAATCCGTTCCAGGTCTGCTCAGTGCAGTCCTGAGCTCTTGGCTATATTTGCAATTCTCTCCACTTTTGGGGCCCCTCGTTGGGGTCGGAGTGAATGGAGACGTTGCACTCACTTTGAATAGTTGGATTCTCGTTGGGAATTGTCTGTCCTTGTGTCTGTCACTCATTCCCCATCACTTGATTCCCCCTCCTCATTTTATTTTGAGAACTTTAAACTCTGTCTTGCATTAAAACATTTAAAAAGGATTACGTAGCCAACAGCAGCGACAGCAGGTCTTTCCTCAGTGTGAGGCTTTTTAAAACTTGCCCCACAGGTAAGCATCTGTCTTCCTTTATCGATAGATACAAAGGCTTTTCTGGCTATAAACCTTTATAGTTTTCCTGTCATCACTCTGAGGAATTTTTGCTTTATGAGAGAGTAGTCTCTCAAGAGGAAAAGAAAACTATAGTTTCTGGTCGTATCCAGGAATTAAATTTATATTCATGTCTGTTCATCTCTCTGAAGTTATTATAGGTACTTTGAAAAAGAACTAAAGTTAGCTAAAGTTTCTACATAACCATCAAAAGCTGTTATGAAAGAGGAAAGAAGGATGGAACAGGCAGTAAGGAGGTCATTCAACTGCCCAAAGCTTTTCACTAAAATTGGCAGTTCCAGTGGCCAGCCAAATCGGTTTGAATGTATTTTTCTCTCTTCTAGTCTCGGCAACCATGGTTGTCAGCTAGTGGTTGTAACTGATTGATGGCTGAGGCAAAATCCGTGGAAGTTCTTTTTGGTTCTATAAATGCTGAATTAGGACTAAGTGCAGTTGAAGTTACTTTGTTATTAATTAGTCCCTCCCTTATAAATGTGTGCATTTGTAAGGACTAGGTTAGAAAGTGTCCTTTAAAAATACATTTCATTTAGGTCTTAATGATCTATTTCTTTGGATACTCTTATTTCCTCTTAATGAAATGTTGCTTGAAAATGAGATATATAATAGGGGCTTTTAAAGCTGACAGTGACCTGAATTTCTCTGGATCTCTGTCGACAATCAAACTTTTGAGAGATGAAGGAGAATTTCTCCTAAAAGTGCTAGTTGCTTCTGAAATTGTTTTGTGGTTGATGTTGTTTTCAGAGAGATAAATGACAAAAACATTTTTTCTGACTAAAACATCGTGGACTTATTGGCTCTGCAGACAGATGCCAGGTAAGGTTTAACGTTAAAAAAAACCTTATTCTGTGATCTTTAATTAGTTTTCCAATTGTTTTAGGACCAGGGCGCCCATACAAGGCCATCGATTTCTCACACCAAGGACCCGCCTTTGTTACATGGCACCGGTACCATTTGTTGTGGCTGGAAAGAGATCTCCAGGTTGGCGAAAACCATACATTTGGTTCTTTTAATTTTGTTACACATTTGGTGAAGACCCATGTCAGTCTTTGCTTTACATGCTTTCTTGTTGTATCTGATGGCATGAATTAAATGACTAGGCATGCCCTTTGCTTCTAGCGACTTACTGGCAACGAGTCCTTTGCTTTGCCCTACTGGAACTTTGCCACTGGGAGGAACGAGTGTGACGTGTGTACAGACCAGCTTCTCGGGGCAGCAAGACAAGAGGATCCAACGCTGATTAGTCAGAACTCAAGATTCTCCAGCTGGGAAATTGTCTGTGATAGGTAACACATATGGACCAGCAATGGGAATCCAGAGACCATATTTTCTTACATCTGAGAGATGGAGAGTCTCTTTATATTTCAGTTTCTAATGCATGTCGGCTTCTGTTTACATGTTTCTGAAAATGATTTTCCTGAGGGAGGTAGTAGGATTTTTAAAAATTCTAAGCCCTTTAACAAAAAAATAGAGGTATAGAAACCATACTTGTGAATTAAGTATGCTTGGTCATCATTTTGAGATCAACTGTTTCAAAATTAGAAGTAGTTCCTGCATTCAGCCAGTATTTCTTAAGCACCGATCATATTCTAGCAGCGTAATAGTGGTGGGAATACAAGGATGAAGAAAATATAGCTTCCCTTTTAAATATCATGTTATGTTTACAAAGGCAAATTGCTTGTAAACAAATTATAAAACAACGTGAGACATATCCCAATAGATGTATATGCAAAGCCAAGAAGAGAGTCAGAGAAAGTATCTAAGAGGAGGAGACAATTATCCAGAGATTTTATGGAGGCACAGACCTCAACCAGATGTAGGAGAGGGTGGTGGGTGTCCTAGGTGGAAGGGACATCACATATGAAGCTAGGAAAGTCTCTTGCAGCAGTCTGGTAGGGCTGGACCATAGGGTGCTGGTGAGACCACAGGGGAGAAAGACCTCTGAAGTACCAAAGAACACATAATCAGATGAGCAGCCTGCAGCTCATGAAGAATTCTGTCCTCAGTGATTCCTTGAATTTGTTTCTCTTTCCTGGGCCACATCTCAGAAAAAGATTCCCCAAGGGCCTCCTCTGCCTTCCTTTATTCATTTGTTTCCTCCAAAATGCTCCTGTTTCTAACCTCTCTACTCTAGCTCCTCTGTCCTGTGTATTTTGACTGCTCTTTGGCACAGAGCTTCGTTGCCAACACTCCTGAGGCTGGGCACACGTGTGTTTTCAGGGGTCTAGGCCTAGCTAGCACGGATCCCATCTTCTACCTCCTAAGCTTTTCCTACAGCCCTCCAGACAGTGCTGAACAACACGTAGGGACAGGATAAGTGCTTTTTACATGACTTAGCATAATTCCGTAAAGCACCATTTCTCATAGTGCTTTGGGGTATTAATAGGTGGTATGTGAAAAGAGATTTCTATGATCTAATAAATTTAAGGAATGCTGAGTTAAAAAGGTTTTTTAATTTTAGAACATCTCAGTGCCTTTCTTATGTAAGTGTATTAGTATTCTCCAAGAGGGGCCTACACTTCTCTGACCTGGCACCTTTAGCATACAGACCATCTCACCAGAACACACTTGGGAAATGTGGCCTTGGAGGCCTTTTTTGCCTAGTTTTTAGGTAGTGGCCTCTTTCATCCTCATGCTTGTTGCTGATTCCATTCTCACATCCCTGGCACTATCCCCTCACCCGTTAAAACCCACACGGAAACATCTTTAGATTTTTAACTATACCAACGAAATAATGCTCTGATGGTGGAATCCCAGAGCCTAACAGGCATGTAGGTTACAGTCTTTCACGGGCCTGGAACCTCCTTAGCCTCCGTGTTTACTGTATAACCATCCCTACTGCCTGGGAACATTTTCTAATACAGCATTTCTCCTAATACCTCTCCTCTGTATAGTTTCACCTGTTTTTACTCTGACCACCTCCATCTGCCTTCAGTTTGCCTAAAATGCTTTTCCAGCTTTACACAGACATTTCTGCCAAAACTCGCTTAGCTCAGTATAACACGGGCCCCCCAGTCTCTCTTTAGTTACTTAAGATTCAAATGCATGTAACAGGAGTCACTGTCTTGCCTTGTGATGGTAATTATTATTACTGTCTTTCCAATGGATGGTAATTATTCTTCATATTTAAGCATTGGTATTTTATGGATCTATGTTTTTGAAACTCCTTAATCGATAATTACTTTGGGAGATAGTACCTTTACCACGTGGTTTTGACCCTTGTAGGGTAACTATAATAAAATTTTATCATGACTATGACCATGATTGGTTTGCTTGGCCCAAAGTTATGATGCTATCTATGAATTGACATATTATCTTTAATCTCCTTACAAATCTTAGCTTAGATGACTACAACCACTGGGTCACCCTGTGTAATGGAACCTATGAAGGTTTGTTGAGAAGAAATCGAGGGGGAAGAAACAGTGAGAAATTGCCAACCTTAAAAGACATACAAGATTGTCTGTCTCTCAAGAAGTTTGACAACCCACCTTTTTTCCAGAACTCTACCTTCAGCTTCAGGTTGGTTCTCTGAGCTCTGCTAGACTGGCATTTTTCGACAGTTTTAGATTTTCATGCTTGTGGTTGTAATGAACTGGAAGGAAATCCAAGTATAAAGCTAGGTAATGGAGAAGTTCTTGATAAGACAGGATAGCAGGAGGTCAGGGTTAGGAAAGTCATCATCCACTCACTATAATTGATAGTGTAGATTTAATATCTTCTTTTTTTTTTTTTTTTAAAGATTTTATTTATTTATTTTTTCCCCCCAAAGCCCCAGTAGATAGTTGTGTGTCACAGCTGCACATCCTTCTAGTTGCTGTATGTGGGACGCGGCCTCAGCATGGCCAGAGAAGCAGCACGTCGGTGCGAGCCCGGGATCCGAACCCGGGTCGCCAGCAGTGGAGCGCGCTCACTTAACCACCAAGCCACGGGGCCGGCCCTAATATCTTCTACCTTAGCTATTCAAAACCATGTTTTGTATTTCTAATTTCTGAACCTATATAGGTACAGTCTTCAGAACCAGGGTACCTCCTTAAACGTAGGATTTTAAAAATGTTTGCTCATGCTCTTTCTTTTTCTTTTCTGTCTTTTTAAAAAAAATTTATCATCCATGGACCTTAATATTGGGGTCTGAGATCTCAGAGGAGTGACACAGACTAAATGCAGCTCAAATTACAGCACAGCAATGACATTACAATACTTGAAATTTAATAGTCAACTAATAATTTTGTCCCTTAAAAAGACCTTAAGAATTATGAGAAATATGTATGGATATAAATGATTTTAAACAAAGATGGATGGGGCTCCAAAAAAGAATGGTGAATAGATAGATTCACGGTCGTTTCCCAGACCGAATTCCCTCTCTCTCATAACTGTGTGTAAGGTATACAACTGATGGGCTATTTGGGGCCAGGAGCAGGGAAGACTGAACTTAAATGCAGAGGTTGTGCTCAGTGTAGCAGGGCTCACAGTCTGTGTTGGAGTTGGACACAGCCCTCAGAGTAGTGTCAAAGGCGAGGTAAAAGGTGACATTTAAGATTGTCTTGAAACAGAGTATGCACTAGTTTCATTGTGATAAAAATGTTATTGAAACAGAGTGCCGTCCATATAGATTTGAGTTAAGGGAGTGGTTCTCAAAATGGGGCTCCTAGACCACCATAACTGGTGTCACCTGGGAGTTGGTTAGAACTACAAATTGTTTGGACCCAGCCTGTACCTACTGAATCAGAAACTCCGGAAGCGGGCAAGAAATATGGGTTTTTCTCCAATGATTCCAACCTATGCTTAAATTTGAGGCTCACTGAGTTAGCGTATGGACAATTGACAATTAGAATTTTCTGAAAATGGGGAGAGGAAAAAAGAGAAGGATAGGAGAATTTTGGGATATGTTTAGAATGCTGAATATATTACAGTCAAGCTGCAGGTCTATTTTGTTGAGAAATATGAGTATAGGATTATATGTTAATTCAAAAAATATTTATTGATCACAGACCATGTGTTTGGCATGGTGCTGAGCCCTGGCAATAAAAATCTGAAGAAAACACAGTCTCTGCCCTCTAGGAGTTCATAGTGTGGCACGGGAGACAGAAATGAAGATAAATAATTGTCATACAGTATACAAAAGAGATATAATCCAACTGAACAGGTGCAGAAGTAACATTGATTAAGAGTTCCGTCCCCTTATAGAAGATCATCATTAAAGGTTGGGGTGACTGGTTAGTTAATTAGTTATGACAGAGCTTCTCATTTTCCTACCCAATCTCAAATTAGAAGACTGTTGTCTAGGATGGAACCAATAAAAAGAGACCTTTATCTATCCATGACTGTTGTTGCTGATATGCTGATTTCTCTCAGGAATGCCCTGGAAGGGTTTGATAAAGCAGATGGCACCCTGGACTCTCGAGTGATGAGCCTTCATAATTTGGTTCATTCCTTCCTGAACGGGACAAATGCATTGCCACATTCTGCCGCCAATGATCCCATTTTTGTGGTATGTTCAAAGACTCAGAATAGATGAAAAATTTTCTAGATAATGTGTTGGATTTATTTGCTTTTAAGTAAGATTAAAGTCTGAGATGTGTTTTATTCTCTGTGTGAACAATGGGATGTATGCATATGTAAATTAATTTTCATCTGCACCACAGAGGTGGTTAGATAGCATTTGAAGTCCCTTCATCAGAAATCCATGCTTTAGAGACGGTAAGCTTTGGAATGACCCTAGACAGGAGTTTATAGTCCAAAGGTGGATTCATAAATTCGCATAATGATATCATAAATTATTTTATAATTTAGCATAATTTGTCATAAATTAACATAATGATAAATGATTTTTCATTGGTGAAATGAGTGGTGTTGAAGATAAGTGGTGGGCTAGAAGGACTTTGCAGGCACCACAACTGTCGCATGAAGCCCAGCAACGTGGCACCTTTGGAGCAGCACGTGGAGTTCAAAGCTCTGTTGGTGTTTGGTCCTATCCCCCTCACTTCACAAAAGATTCTGACTAAAAATTAGCTGCTCCTGCTGTCATAATATCATCGTGTCCACTTTGGAGTGAATATTCCATGCAAGACACTTGTCAAAGGAGCGTGCGAACTTCCCCAGGTGTACAAGAACAAGTTCTTTCACTCCTCCTATGTCTACTTGCTAATAAGTATTTGTAGGTTTAACAGAATTGGGTCTTACACTTGCTTTCATGGTTACATACCACCTAGTTCCAAGTTTATTTGAGAAGGTGGTGACATATGGCCACTACCCTCCCCCAGTTGCAGGAGCCTACTGATATATAAAGGAACCTGGTAGTGCTGAATGGACAAATTGGGATAGATCAGATTGCAAACTTGAAGGTCTATTTGGTCTTATCTCTTGTTTGTAAATGAACAGAGATTCCACTCAAACTGATTTAGGTTAAAAAAATTAATTTATTGGCTTAAATAACTGGGAAATTCAGGAGTGCCCTGGCTTCAGGCATTGCTGAATCTGGGGGCTCAAATGATGTCAGTTCTCTGTGTCTGTCTTCATAAACAGCCTCTTTCCGTGTGGTAGCTGACAGGGCCATTGGCAGCCACAGATGTGCATGCTATCAGCTCAGCACACCCGTGGCAGAAAGAAGCTGTGTTTCCATAGCAACAGGAGAACAGCCCCAGGATTGGCCAGGCCTGGGTTCCCTGCCTTCCCTGAACCAATCAGTGTAGCAAGAGGAATGAGGTCTTCTGATTGGCCAGACCAAGGTCACATGATCACTCCATTGTGTGAGGGGAGTGGTAAGTTTGGGAACCCAGCACACACCACCTTTAGTGAGTTCTCTGCAGGAAAGAAAGGTTCTGTTAGCCAGAAGAGGAGAGGAGGGTGGAGAAAGGGTGCTGGATAGAAAAAAACGACAAATGCCTTCAATTAATGCAAAAACTCACATTTGAGATTGCTTAATTTATTAACTGGCTTCATACCTCTGAGAGTTAATACAGCCAGTAGAGAGAGTTGCTATGACTGTGGAGGAGCCTCACAGTTCTTTAAAATTCAAAGTGCGAGGAACTCTCTTGATGCATTTGAGTCTGATTTCTGTCTCCCTTTAAAACAACAGGAAAAACAGAAGGAAACTTGACAACAGGATTGTAAATGTTAGAATTCCAAGCTTTATTAGCGTTAAAAATGTGTTCACCAAGGGGCTCTCTTGAGATAAACAAGATGAGGGAAGTGCAAGTCAGGGCCACATTAACGCGGCTGCCCTTAGTCAGTGTCCTCCAGCCGAAGACCACCAGGAACACAGCTGTAGTGGAACATGTGGGGTTTATGGCTCATGGCAGTGACAGAATGGGGAACCGTGGAGTGTCTCAGGTGTTAGAAAAGACTGAAAGGATTTGGGCTTGTGCTGGGTGATTTGGGGAGGGATTAAGGAAGCAGGGCTCTGCTCTGGATCGGGTGCTGTCTGGAAGCAGGGGTAACTCTGCTTGGGTATCCCAATAATTCTTTTTTTGTGTGTGTGTGTGTGTGAGGAAGATCAGCCCTGAGCTAACATCCGTACTAATCCTCCTCTTTTTGCTGAGGAAGACTGGATCTGAGCTAACATCTATTGCCAATCCTCCTCCTTTTTTTGTTTTCCCCAAAGCCCCAGTAGATAGTTGTATGTCATAGTTGCACAGCCTTCTAGTTGCTGTATGTGGGACGCGGCCTCAGCATGGCCGGAGAAGCGGTGCATCGGTGCGCGCCCAGGATCGGAACCCGGGCCGCCAGTAGCAGAGCTCGAGCACTTAACCGCTAAGCCATGGGGCTGGCCTATCCCAATAATTCTTACCACTAGGGAAGGCAGTCTAATTGGTAAAGCAGCAGCAGTGGCAGTGGCTTCTATTAACAGAAAAGGCTAACGTTCATGTGGGATATTTTGTGGCTTGGACAATATTCATGTTTTGTCTGCCCTCAGAAATGATTATGGTTGTCCTGATTTTGTCCTGAGCCATCACAGCCACAGAGAGACCTTGTCTGATGTTGATATTCCCTGAAAGTGTTTATGTCCAGCAGGAGAACACCAGGATGTAGCTGATGGTGCCAGGCCAGCTCCTGGATGTCAGGGGCTGCTTTCTTTTCCCCTCAAGTATGGCTCACTGAAGTTGGCTGAGAAGCTTTAGACAACACAAACTTTCATGTTTCAGTTGCTGAACCCAATAATGTCTCTGTTTTACAGACACTTAACTCACCACTCACTATTTTAACACAGTCTGTCTTCAGGGTTGGATGTCTTGGACAGATGGTTTCAGAGAAATTACAAGAAGAAATTTCACCACTGGTCCTTTTTTATGTTTCCAGTATTTTGAGTTGATATTATTATCCACTTTAGATTATACTGTAGCCAACGAACATTATATGATTTTTTTTTTCCAGAATTTTCCTCACCTTAGTGTTAATCTTACCAGTGTGTCTTAGTCTGCTCAGGCTACTATAACAAAATACCACAGACTGGGTGGCTTAAACCACATACATTTATATCTCACAGTTCTGGAGGCTCGAAGTCCAAGATCAAGGTGCCGGCTGATTCAGTTCCTGATGAGAGCTCTTTTCCTGGCTTCTAGACCACTGCCTTGTTGCTGTGTCCTTATATGACAGAAAGAGAGAGGGAGCGAGCTCTCTGGTGTGTCTTCTTTTTTGTTTTTTTAATTTTTTGTTTATTGCAGTAACATTGGTTTATAACATTGTAAAAATTTCAGGTGTACATCATTGTACTTCTATTTCTGCATGGACTACATCA